GTAGACATTTTATGCTCACTTAAGTGTCTATCTCAGCATTTCTTTTAAACAAATGTAGTGCTGAGAATATTTTTACACTCTCAGCAGTCTGCATCTTAGTCTCTAATGCACTGGACTTCTAGGCCAGGCTCTAGATCAACGTAGGGGGAAAAAACCCTAGTTTATTTAACAGTGCCTCAGTTGATTACCAATGCCACTTCCACTGTAGCACTGTATTCAGAGACAGCTTCTTTCTTCCTGACCTCCTGATATAGACACACGAAACAATACCCTTTCTTTCCCATCTCATTTCCTTCTGTTATCCATTGGCTTTACATCTTTTCTTACCTTTCGTTCTTTCCAGGGTGAAGCAGCCTGTCAGCAGATCAACGCAGAAGTTTATCTGGAGTGCTCAGCAAAATGTCGTGAAAACATCGAAAATATTTTTAAAGAAGCGACAACCATTGCACTGAACGCCATGAAAAAAGCCAAGCGCCAGAAGAAACGGACAGTGTGCTCAGTGTTATGACGTGGGCTGCAAGACGGCGTCGACTGCCTGACAGCCGAGCGATACAGCTTTTAAAAACGCTGTAACTTCAAAGACCAGCGTTTTTTCATTACGTGTTTGTATTCGTAGAATAATTTGTATTTTCAAATTTTAATTATTTTTAGCAGTTTTTCAGTTTCGTTGCACTGTTCCCACAAATTTTTCAGAGCTCTTTCTCAAGGTTAACTGATGCTGCGTGCCTTCGTCCATCTGGCTTTTGCTCCTGACTGCAACCGACCACCAGTCAGGTCTTGGACTCGCTATTTAAATTGCAGTGAACAACAGCAGCCACTGTATGAGTTCATTAGTTGGGTTTTTCCTTTTGCAAAATAATTGTGGCCTGTTACAGCTACACTTTACTGTCTTTTTCCAAGAAAAACTGAAAAGCCACCTCTTTTAGAAGAAGTGATGTTAAAGCAGCTTTCAGGCACTCTTGAAGAGACAGAATGAAGTTCTGTCTTAACATTTTCAAATTCATTTACTTGGTGGCAGAGGTATAAGTTAGCCTCAGGCTGTTCCCCGGGTGTGCAGACAGAGCATCCACTACTGCCCCTGTACCCCTGGGCGTGCAGACGCAGCGTCCACTACTGCCCCTGTACCCCTGGGCGTGCAGACGCAGCATCTACTACTGCCCCTGTACCCCTGGGCGTGCCGACGCAGCGTGCACC